CGCTGCTGCCGCCGCGGCTGCCACCTCCGCCGCTGCTGCTGCCACCTCCGTTGTTCCCTCCACTCCATTTTCTCCCCCTGCCCCACCTTCGTCCCTCCCCATGGCCGAAGACACCTCAAGCATCAACATGGGCTCGCTCCGCATGGATTCCGTCAAGGATATCCACCGCGAGCTTGTCGACCAGCCAGGCACTGGGGAGAACGCATCTCTCCTCTCCATGTTTCAAGTACTCTCTGCCTCGCTCCGCAAAATCGAGCCTTCTGTTTATCTAGATGACATGATGGGTCAATTATTTGCTTTATTCGTATTAACTGTAGCAGCTGCAGAATCTTCTATTGGGCTCACTATTCTTGTTATTACTTTTTGAATTCGTGGCACTATTGAAATCTACCCAAACCAAAACAAGTGACCTCCATATCTGATCGCGTCACCTCCCTCGAAAACCACACACCCGCCATCACCGTCGTCACGACGTCATCAACCCCCTCCTCCTCCGGCAAATCCATCCAATCCACCCCCGCCGGCCAAACCGGCCAACCATCTTCTTCCGGTCAAAATAGCCAACCCCCCTCCTCCGGCCAATCTGGCCAAAGCCTCTCCGCCGGCCAAGCCGGCCAGGCCTCATCCTCCAACACCACCCCCCCACCATCCTCCACCACACCTTCTTCCACCCTTGTCACTTCCGTTCCCGTTTCCCTCCCCTCCTCACAACCTACTACAAGCGCTTCCACCACTACACGAACCACACCCCTTCGCCTCTCCTCCCCGCTCACCCAACCTCTCCTCCCCCCTCACCCAACCTCTCCTAACTACTTCCACCGTCCCCTCTGTCCACCCCTCTTACTCCCAAGTCCTTTCGGGCGTTTACCCTGCCATACCCCAACCTCCTCCTTGCTACCTCCTTGGTGACCGCAATCAGGATCACACCTGCTACGACACCTCTCCCGACGACCGCAACTTCAACACCCTCGCTTGCATCGTCCCCCGCAACGGGGACATCCCCCGCTCCTTCCGCGCCACCGATATTGCAACGTTCTCCGGCCTCCCCCACGAGGACGTCCTCCTTTCCTCTCTCAAGTTCAAAATGCCTTCGATCTCCACAACATGCCCCTCGCTCATTGGCTCCCCACCGCAACCTCCCGCCTCCAAGGCGCCGCCGCTCGATGGTGGTTAACCGAAGCCAACAACCGCCGAGCCAACGGCCTTCCCCGCATCACCTTCCTTCAATGGGCCGACCTTCTCATCGCCTCCTTCCGTCCGCAAAAGACCATCGATGACTACATCGATCAATTTTGCAACCTCCGTCAAACCACCCCCACTGAGCGATTCATCCAATACGTTCGCTCCCTCCGCCTCCACATCCCGTCGACTCTCATTCCCGACTACGTCTTCATCTCCCGCATCAACCGGGTATGCTTCCCCCACCTCGCCGCAGCCCTCGCCCATGAGCCCGAGCTCCCTCTCACCGATCTCCTTACCCGCCTTCTCCACCATGATCGCCTTCCTCACCTCCGCTCTCAACGACCGCCCCCAACCGCACCCGGTTTTTCCACAACGTGGCCTCCGACGACTCGTCACTCCTCTCCGACGACGGCCTTGACTCCTCTCCCGAGTCCCTTGACCCAGCCCAATTCACCGAGGAAGACTTCCAGGTTGTCCATCTCATGAGGATGGAACGGCAACGCCTGGCCTCCCAGCCTTCCTCCTCCCCCCAACCCCCTCGTCTCAAAAAGCTCACCCTCACCGAACGCGCCTTCCTCCAGGCCAACGGCGGTTGTTTCCGTTGCCGCCAGCTGGGGCATCAGCAAACCAATTGCCCCAAGGTCGGCCGCTCCTCCCACCAGGCTTCCCGCCCCACCGGATCCAGCCCTCCCACATCCACTTCCTCCTCCTCCACCTCGACCTCTGGGCCCTCCTCCACTTGAACACTGTCCCCCCTCCCCTTGTAGCCATGTCCTGGCACCAACAATTCGTTTGCCAACCCCTCCCCCGGCGACGACTTCCACACCGGACACCCCGCAGGCGTCGCAGTCTACTTCGCCTGCCCTCCTCCCGACGACGTCCTCTATTCCGTCGGCTGAGCACCCCACGGCCACATGTTCCACTACCCTCCTCCCCAACCCCTCCACCATCACTTTCTCCGATCTCGTCAAGGAACAAGACCGACACACTCGGCTTGTTAGATTAGGCCTCGAGCAGTGCTGCCTCAACGCCATGATCTCCTCCGTTTGTGTCGGGATCGCCCAGTTCCAGCTCAAGTTCGTCGCCGTCTCCGTTGGAGCATCGACGGTGAAATTCTGGGCCCTTCTCGACATTGGTGCCACCGGCAACTTCATCACGGATGCCTGTGTCCGCAAAGCCGGCCTCTCTTCCACCGGCTATGATTCCCCGATCACCATCCAGCTAGGGGATAAGGACTCAGCCATCGTCGTCGATCGCAGTCCTCGAGACCACAATGACTATCGGCCCTCTTCGCAGTCAGGTTTCCTTCGATGTCATGCACCTCATGTGCGACATCGTACTCAGGACTCCCTGGTTCGACCGCTACATGCCCTATACCTTCCACCCCTCTTTCGTCCGCCTCTCCACCCCCCCGATCCACCCCTTGACATCCCCTACCTTCTCCCTCCCTCCACCCCTTCCCCCGTCTCTCCTCATCAATTTCTTCACATGACCCGTGAGCACCCCGACTCTGCCTACTATTGCCTTGTCATTGACCGCGACCGTCCAGAGGACCCCCCCTCCGACCCTCAGATCTCCGCCCTCCTATCCGAATTCAAAGACGTGTTTCCCAAATCCTTGCTCGCCGGACTACCTCCCGACCGAGGTGCTTCCCACACCATCGATCTCGAGCCCGACCACTCCCCCCCTTGCCGCCCCCCGTACCAGCTCTTCGTCCCCGAGGCCGAAGAAATGAAGCACCAGCTCAATGAACTCCTTGAAAAAGGATTCATTAAGCCTAGCTCCTCCCCCTTCGTAGCCAGTTGTCTCTTCGTCAAGAAGAACGACACCTCGGAACTCCGCATGTGCACAGACTACCGCGTCCTGAACTAGATCACGATCAGGAACAAGTATCCGCTTCCCCGGATATCCAAACTTCTTGATCGCCTCCGTGGAGCCAAATACTTCACCAAGATCGACCTCCGCAGTGGCTTCCACCAGATCCGCATCCGCGAGGAGGACACCCACAAGACCGCCTTCCGCTCCCGCGTCGGGCACTACTAGTTTCTCGTAATGCCTTTCGGTCTCACCAACGCCCCTGCCACATTCCAATCCACCATTAACCACATCTTCCGCGACCTCCTCGAAGTCTGTGTCGTGATCTACCTCGACGACATCCTTGTTTTTAGCCCCACCTTCGAGTCCCACCTTGATCATCTCCGCCAAGTTCTTGCCATCCTCCGCGACCAAAAATTCTACGCCAAGCTCAGCAAATGCACATTTCATGCCTCTAGCATAGAATACCTTGGTCACATTGTCTCCGCCGCCGACATCCGCATGGACCCCAAAAAGGTCTCTGCACTCGTCGAGTTCCCCCCTCCCACCACTTTAACCCAACTTCGCTCCTTCACGGGACTCGCCAACTACTACCGCCCCTTCATCCGCAACTTCTCCCACGTTTCCTACCCTCTCCATGAGCTCATCCGTGCCACCGAACCCTTCGCCTGGACAGACCGCTGCCAAGCCGCCTCCAACAATCTCAAGGAGCTCATCACCACTGCCCCCGTCCTCAAAATCGCCGACCGCACTCGCCACTTCTTCGTCACCACGGATGCCTCCGACTTTGCCATCGGGGCTGTCTTATCCCAGCACGTTCCCCCCGACCCCGCGGAAACCCCCTCCATCAAGGACTCTCCCATTCACTCCCAATGCCCACCCGGCGGGCACCCCATCGCATTCGCCAGCAAGAAACTCCTTCCCGCAAAAATGAACTACCCATCTAACGAGAAGGAGCTACTCGTTGTGGTCTACGCCCTCAAAGTCTGGCGCCCGTACCTCGACGGGCAATACTTCACCATCCGTACCGATAACACCGTCGTCTCCTCCATCTTGACCAAGAAAGACATCACCCCTTGCCAAGCCCGCTGGTTAGACTTCCTTGCCCAATTTACCTTTACCATTTGTCACACCCCTGGCAAGAGCAACCGCGTTGCCGATGCCCTCTCCCGCCGCCCCGATCACAAACCCCCCGAGAAAGTCTATGCCGCCATGACCCACATCCAGCTCCTGCCATCGCTACACCCAAGGATACCTCTCTTGCCCCGACTTCTCCACCATCTATAACAAACTCCGCGACCTCGACCCCGTCCCCAACTACTCCCTACATGACAACCTCCTGTACATCGAGACCAAAGGCACTCGTCGACTCTGCATCCTTGACGCTCGTGGCCTCCGCACCCAGCTCTTGGCCGAGCACCACGACGCCAAAACCGCTGGCCACCTTGGTTTCCAGAAAACCTTTGACACCATCTCCCAATATTTCCATTGGCCTTCTCTCCTTGCCGACGTCAAAGCCCACATCCGCTCGTGCCCCACATGTCAGGCTGTCAACCCCTCGAACCGGGCCAAACCCGGTAAGCTCCTTATTGCCCATCCCCACGCACCGATGGCAGTCCGTTTCCATGGACTTCGTGTGTGGTCTTCCCAAGACCGACCGCGGGCATGATTGCATCTACGTCATTGTTTGCCGCTTGACCAAACGTGCTCATTTCATTCCTTGTACCACCTCGCACAATGCCAAAGACATTGCCATTCTTTTCTTCAACCATGTCGCCCGACACCACGACCTCCCCGAGAATATCATCACTGCTCGCGACCCCCGCTTCCTCTCCCAATTCTGGAAACAACTCTTCCATGCCTACGGAACCACGCTCAGGTACAGCACTGCATTCCACCCACGGACCGATGGACAAACCGAGAAGATGAACAATACTCTCCAAAGAATCCTGCGGAAGTATTGTCATCCCCATCAGCATGATTGGGATCAGTTGCTCACAGCCGCCGAGATTGCCTACAACAATGTCGTTTCACCTTCCACCGGCATGTCCCCCTTTTACCTTGACCTTGGCTATCACCCCTCGTGCCCTCTGATTTCTTGCTCCCCTCTCAACTCAACCCATCCTCCCCCTGCCCCTCTCTCAATGAATGGGTTGCAACAATGAACCGTCTCCTAAGAGAAGCAACCAAGTCAATCCAACACACCCAGGAACAACAAGCTAAACAAGCCAATAAGCATTGTCGTGATATCACCTTCCAAGTAGGGGACAAGGTCTGACTCTCCGCCAAACGCTTTGAACCCGAACAGGGCTTGTCCAAGAAACTCTCAAACAAGTGGCTCGGTCCCTTCCCCGTCATTGAACAAACCTCCCCCGTCAATTACAAACTCCAGCTTCCCCTTGACATGAGTCGTGTCCACCCTGTCTTCCATGTCGAATACCTCAAAGAATACCATGAATCCCCGCCACAGTTCTCTGATCGCCCTCACCCTCGTCCCCCTCCTATCATGCTCCCCACTGGACCTGAATTCTCCGTGGAATCCATCATTGGCCGTCGAACAACTCAAGTCGCTGATCACCCGGAACAAATCAAAGAATACAAAGTCAAGTGGACAGGCTACCCGGATGAAGAATCAACATGGGAACCCCTTGAAAATCTCAAGAATGCCATGAGACTTGTCCGTGCCTATGATCGTTCCCACCCTGCATCCTAGCTATCCCCCTGCCTATACCTTGGCTAAAAACTTGAACCCTTGCTTAAACCCTGCTACAACCTCGCCACCTTGTTCTACACACACCCCTGCCACAGCCACCCTTGCCCTTGATCCCGATTCTTGATGTCTGATCTGCCCTTGTCCCTTGCCTAGCCCTGCCCCGTTCGCCCTCCCCACTTCCTTGTCCATCTTGTCCAATGCTTGTGGACCTGAGTGACGCCGGCGATAAAGGATCTAATGGCATGCGCACGAGGACGATGGCTTGCTGCACCACTGTTCATGGAGATTATGCAGCTGGACTGGCCACCATGCTGCTACACCTGGCCGGCACCCTGCCTCGCAAACTCCCTGGAGCAGCTACTTGTGACATGAACCATGTACCAGTCTGCGACTTCCTTGCTACCGGATCAGACTCCACTGCAGATCATGTACGGGACATGCCCACAGCCATCGACCATGGACCTCTTGGTTTTCCATGCATCAACACTCAGCATCTTGTTTCTCCTTGCTGAAGACCATTGAAGACCCCCCTTGCCGCTGACCAAGACCTTCGCAGTTCACCTTGCTTCCATCATCGACCTGACCAAAACCCTTGGAGTTCGCCTTGCTTCCATCGTCGACCTGACCAAGACCTCCTTCAAGACCCCTTCTTGTTGCTGATCAAGACACTTGAAGACCTCCCCCAGACCTTGTGACCCATTGCAGACCTCCGACTCTGTACCCACATCCCATCAAACATCCCAGCCCTTGTACATGCAAACTGTGCCCTTGAACCTTGCAACAAACAATTTTAATTTTTTCTTATTATTATTTTTTTCCGTCCCCTGACAACCTAGAACCTTGTAGAATTTCCACTGAAATACCCGTTCACCTTTGTAGAACATTTGTTACCTGCTCTCCCTTGTAGATCATCAATAGGAAACCCCGTTACCTCTTCACCCTTGTCAACCATCTATAGGACTACCCTGTTCCCCCTGCAGCACCCCTACTTCACCATTAGCAGATCCCTGTTTCCCTAACCATTGTTTCCCCTACCCACTAGAACATTGATAGACATCCCCTGTTCCCCTGACCATTGTTTGCCTTACCCAGTAGAACTTCAATAGAAGTCTCCTGTTCCCTGAACTTTGTTCACCCTTAACCTATAGCAAACCTTGCAGTCCCCTTAGTTCATCAGTAGGACTACCCTGCTCCCTGCGGTCCCTATAGTTCATTTGTAGGACTACCCTGTTCCCTGCAACCCCCCTAGTTCATCACTCTGTTCACCGGTACCAAACCATGTTCCCTCTTACTCACGCAGCCCATGCCACCCACATTATACCCCTCTCCCTTTTCGACTTGTTAACCAGTGATCGGCCCCGTCCCGTCCTTCACAGATTTCAGCATTGCTTCATGATTTTTGGCAGCCGGGACGTTGCCTTCTAGAGGGAGGGTATAGTGTTACGGACTCTGCCAGGGCTCGATCCCTGGTCTATCTTTTTGCTGTTTCGGCTGCATCCCGTTTTCGGCCTGGCACCCTTTTTCCAAACCCCTCCTTTGGTACCGTAGGATTTTGGACACCTGGCGCCATGCTGCAATTCGGGCGCCACTTT